AAAGGAAAAAAAAAAAGGAAAAAAAAGGAAAAAAGGGAAAAAAAGGAAAAAAAAGAAAGAAAAAAGAAAAAAAAAAGGAAAAAAAAACCTTGTTGACGTGACAATAGCCATTAAAATAATTTCCCAAATACAAAAAGTGAAATAAACATGGATTATCGTAATTGCTACAAGGCAATTTAAACATTTAAAATTAGTCAGGGTTAGCCAAGGATGAATATCCAACTCCACCCACATCCAAGGCGGCCATTTTGATTAGGTCACCAACAGGAAGATCCCAGAAGTGACAGTAGCCATTAAAATAATTTCCCAAATACGAACATGTTGCAAAATAAACATGCATTATTGTAATTGCTTCATGGCAACATAAACATTTAAAATTAGTTAGGGTTAGCCAAGGATGGATATCCAGGTCGGCCATTTTGATTAGGTCACCAATAGGAAAATCCCAGGCAAGAAAATCCTAATTGCTTCATGGCAATATTAATTAACATTAATTTAAAAATAGTGAAATGAATCTTGCAAACACTGAATTAAACTCTATCCATAATGTTATGTTAAAATAGTGGATGTTAAATAGGTTTGTACAATAAGTCCAAACAAGTTTAACCAAAAAATATTTATTTCTCACAATTATGGAGGGTTAGTTTTAGGGTCAGGGTTAGGGTTAGGGTTAGGAAAGAAGGTTCTTGCCCAAGGATGCGCACTCACATTTCCCCCCCTTTTTGCAAGCCCCTAGCACTCCCCAGGTAAGTATTTTTTGTGTTTTTTTGTGTTTTTTTGCAGGTGCGGTACAGGTAAGTACACGTTTTTTTTTATAGGTTTTACAGGAGCAGCTTCTAAAGCTGTTTTTTGAAGGCTTTTAAAGCTGTTTTTTAGGCTTTACAGCTGCTTTTGGAAGGCTTTTAAAACTGTTTTGTGGCTTTTAAAGCAGTTTTTTCGGTATTTACAGCTGCTTTTTGAGGGCTTTTAAAAGCTGTTTTTGGAGCTTTTAAGCTGTTTTTTGGGGCTTTACAGCTGCTTTTTGAAGGCTTTAAAGCTGTTTTTGGGGCTTTAAAGTTGTTTTTGAGCGCTTTTTAAAGCTTTTTGTAGCTTTTGAAGCTGTT